TATATATATATATATATATATATATCGGTTTCCTAATGTAAAACGGAAATATTACTTTAAGGTTATTAAAGAACAGTAAAACCTCGACCTACTTAGCATTTTTCTTTGAAAAATTTGTAGCCGTAAATTCCAAAAATTTGAAGCTCTATTTCAAAGAAAATTTTTACGTTTTTGAAAAATTGTCGGTAGACATTTGAAGCACTTTAACTCACAAATGCAATAGTGCTTACTAATTGCTGGAATTGCGTACTAAGGGTGTGAGAGATCTATCAAAAAACTTCATTTGTGTAATTTTTGAAAAAAACGAAAAGTACCTCGAAATGAACTTCACGTCATATTAAAGAGTACAAATAGCACTATTCGTTCCAAAAGTTTGAAGAAATTTTTTTTATAAATAATATAAATATTAACGGCATCAGAGACAGATAAAAAAAACATTTTTGTAATTTTTGAAAAAAACGAAACAATATAGCAATATGGCGTTTATGTACTCTTATAGAGTACATTTATCACTATTCCTACCAAAAGTTTAAAGAAAATTTTGGACTCGTTTTTGTGAAAATTTGGATAACAAATAGTGTTGAAAGGAAAATTCTCTATCTTTAACATTATTGTTGTAGGAAGACACCGAAAAATATTCATACTTTTGAAATTTTCGAAAATTCAGATTTACCCGTGGAAATCAGACCTATGTCATATTTATAAGTACATGTTATTCTGTTCTTACCAGAAATTTAAAAAAATTGGAGCCGCTTTTGAGAAAATTTTGAAAATGTCAGGAGGGCTTCATGTAAACTAGCCCCAATTTTTGAAGAATGTTTTCTAAAATCTCAAAGTTTCGACTCGTACCAGATAGACAAGGGATTTTTTTTCAATTTGAAAAAAATCCTCGCATGGTTTAGGCGCTAGTAGTCTTCACACACCAGACGGACGGACAGACGTTTTGCTGTCAATTGATTTTTCGGTATCACCTACAAAACATAGATTCTGGCTACACCACGTGTTAGAGAATATTTTTTCTTAATTTAGCAACTGGATTTATCCACTTCTGCGTTATTATAGCCCGGCAATGACTTTTTTCTTCCGCAAAACCGCCGTTTTATCGTACAGTTTTTAACTATCCCTATATTACTCCGTATATATGTACGTATACGGAAAAAGTAAAAGTCACGATTTTCGAACGAATCAGAAAATGGATAACCAAATAAAGATTTCAATGCGCGCTCGTTTCTCAAAGCCATACGAAGTGCAGTTGCTCTATTATATTGGGGTACATGAACTTCGAACTTCATAGTAGAACTAATGTATATGATATGCTTGATCTGGGCTGTCCGGGTGAGACCGCATCGAAGGCTGTATTGTCGACGTTTCGACCATCCTGTCATGGTCTTCATCAGGGCTGGTATGAGGAAGACCACGACAGGATGGTTGAATCGTCGGCAACACAGTCTTCGACGCGGCGTCACCCGGACAGCCCAGATCATGCATATGACTCTGGCCGCGGAAGCCTACGACTTAATGTATACGATAATAAAATTACTATCAGGCTTCCATTAAACCTGATTTACACACTTTCATTTGATGATTTCGGAGTTTTAGCAAACGTGCGAATGTGTTCTTCAATTCTCAATTCGATCCGAATTACAAGCTTTCTTTGGGGTAATTATTTCGGAGTTTTAGCGTACTTGCATATGCGTTCCTCACTTCTTACTTGGACGTGATTCACTTGTTTCCCTTTGACAAATGATTTCGGGAGTTTTAGCGAACGAGTGCATGCCCACAGCGGCTCTGCCGCCTCAGAAGTCGCTCTGCTTATGCGCGCGATCACTAAAACTGCCGAAATAATTGGTCAAAAGAAGGCGTGTAAATTGGATCTTAAGAAAGTTAATTTGTAATAGGAATATTTGCATTAGAAAATGCCTTTATCAGAGCCAATTATCAGAGAGGTGGGGGTGATATTTTAACCACTGGACCTCAGGCTTAGATCGTTGGCTGACGACGGTTGTATGGTGTATCTTCTGCAAACAGAGTGCAGTTCACTAGGTTTTTATAAATAATATTAATCAAGTTTACTAAAATAGGTTAGTTTAAAGATTTTTACTAAAATATGTAGAGTTTTTTATTGTGTCAACATTATCAAATTGCTAGTATTTTTTGGTATTAGTTTGAACGATTAAAATAAATACAAGTTTTTCAATTTCGCAAGAAAATTTCAAATTATTTTTCCTAATAAAACAGATAAATGCAGGTAGCTATTAATCCATTATTTATCATACAACATCTTGTATACTGGTTTGTTTAATTTATTTATGTATTCATGTGACGTCACCGGATTAAAGTCTGTTCTCGTTCCCCACCACACACACATACACACACTTCCCATCCCATTCCATGCGCTTATTTTGTATCTTTTTATCTTACGAATTTCCTTATAATAACATCCTGAACCTCAGGCAAGTGACATGGGAGTAAAGACGTTCATTGGTTTCCAAGATAATTTTTGTAATCTTAAATTGATAGCTAGTGATTTTTTTCTCGAATAGTATTTTTGCTTTCTCTATATCACTTACATACTGTGGACAAAGTACAGCAATGTTGCATCAGAAAAGGGCGACTTTTCGACACAAACACTCCTTTTGAGTGCTCACGAAAAAGTGGCACACCCTTATTCCTATAAGAAGTTAATAACTTCCTCTAACACATTATATAGTATAATCCACCTGAGACCGAACAATCAGTATTCGGCAAAACATTACTCCCTTCTTCGATCTCCGTCTGTGTACAACGCTAGAGGTGAAATCGTAGGTAGCATTTTCATCAAAATTGCTATTCCGCATTCCAGGACCCTTGAATTTGAAACTGATATTTGTGGGAGGGTTATTATCAACGAATCTTCAAAGACAATTTAAAAATTTTCTCAAAAATGACTCCAACATTAATCTTTAATTTTTTTCTGATAGAGCAAAGTGTGCGTATAACAACGGCGCAGACCGTAATTTCGTTGAAATTTATTAATTTTCAAAGATGGTAAAAGGTTAATTATTTTCACGTATTCGTACAACTACAATATTGATGACAGATTTTTCTTTTGATTGAAATCAGTTCTTCCAAATTAAATATTTAAATGGAGACACATCCAATTATTTTTCAGAATATAAGTAGTTTTAGAACACTTTTGACTGAAATGAAGGAATTTTAAAAATAAGTTTCTATAAAACGGCTACAATACTCTAATCAATTTGGTGAGGTTTGCGTACCAAATTTTCTATTTTCCGCGCTTCTCCAGTCAACATAGCATGCAGTGCCACTGCATAAGAATGCATGTTTTGGTCAGTGCGGGGAAAAGAGTGAACGCGTAAACAGTTGTTTTGGTTGTTGCAGCTATTGTGGTCTGTAGTATTGCTAATGTCGTTAAAGTTACTGAATTTTCAAAGATCGTAAAAAGTTAATCATTTTCATGTATTCCTCCAACTACAATATTGATGACAGAGATTTTTCTTCTGATTCAAATCTGTTTTTCAAAATTAAATATTTAAATGAGGACATGTACACATTTTTTCAGAATATAAGTAGTTTCATAATAATTTTGGCTGAAATGAAGTATTCCTAGGTCAGAATGAATAAATAAAGAATTGATTTTCAAAAAGGCCATATCTTTACCAGCTGTTCGAGGCGCACGGCATTAGAAAATGCCACTTCCCGAAAGAAGTCATTGATGTGCAAGAAAACTAATAATAAAACTCATTTTTCCGGCTTGGATGGTCGAAATCGCTAAGGCTGTTGGGCCGAAGTGGTCTCGGCTCGAATGGTCGCGTGCTCGAATCCTGACTCGAGTATGGATGTTTGTGTGTGCTTGTGTTGTGTTTTCCTACAGTAACCCCAATGTAAACAAGTAAAGTGGTCGCTATAAAACCTAGTAATAAAATCGCGATCATTAAAATGTTTTTTTTTTAAGTTAATTTTTTGTCAACTGAAGAAGTATACATATTTAAAATATACTTCCACAATTCTTATGTATTGCCAATTTTTAAAAATAAAAAAAATCATAAAGATAGTTCACCAGGTAGCTGGTATGTAGAGTACTTTTTCTTTGATCGTCAAATAAATCGCTTCGCTCCAATTTGAACTGTTCTCTTCAGGATCATTTTGGAGCTGTGTTACTTTTATCGTACAGTGTCGAAGTGAGCAGGCAATGTCTTAGATTATGCTTAGATTATACTAACGAAGAGCGGATATCGCCCGTTTTCCCATGTGTGCCTGTACTTGGCGCGACTGCCCGCGCACGGGCCAGGGCCTACCAGCAGCGCACGTGTTAACCCCTGGCCTTGCGGCCTTGGGTTAACACGTGCGGCTAACACGTGTGGTTAACCACGAAGACATTCCTACGCCGTAAACTGTTCTTCTCAACCTGAAAAGTGAGTTTTCGCATCATCAGAGCGCAACATATACTGAGGCATTGCAACGCACACTATAATATTGCTGGACCAGGAATCGAACCCGGAGTCGCATAATGGACAGCGAGCACTCTGACCAATGCGCTAAACCCGAGGGCTCCATTCCCATGTAACATATGTCCAAACCCATGTAACAAAGTTCAATAAATATTTTGATTCAAATGGTAAAGTTGGTTAATTTTCGCTGAGATTGGTAATGTAGACTTTGCGTAGTAATTTATTGAATCTATTAATTAATTAGGTGAGTCAAAAAACACCTGAATATTTATTTAATTAATTTTACACTGTTCATTATCTTATATTCAGAGACCCCTAATTTTACCCCAAAACGAAACAGTCTTGCTATTATTGTTCTATATATTTACGTTTGCCTCGAGTCTCTAGAAGATCGTTCGAGATTCAATCCGATTACGTCACTTGCGCGTGTCGTAACGACTTGTCCCGCGGAGCGCCACTGTTGTGCTTTTCGCGTGAGCCCCAGCGCATGCGCGGTTGCGACGGTTGG